CAACTTGCGAAAAGCTGTATTTGTTTTCATTATATACGGTCTACATTTTCCACTGAAACTCAAGGCATATTCTGCAGTGTAGGCCAAATACACTCAGTAGGATGGGACATCCCATAAGTAAAGCGGTAGCAATGCAAAAATCGGAAAACAAGCAGAAACCTCACCAGGGAGCTGAAACAGAAGCATAAACCCTGACATGACTTGTTAAACAAGGCAGACGTTGCATAGTAGGATCCTACTGGGCAGGATGAGCTATACAGTCATAGACCAGTATAACAGAAGATACAGTTAAGGGAACAGTAAAATTATAAAATACAATGGCATCTAAAATTATAAATGATCTAAAAACTTTAAAATACAGATATAATTGAATCAAAATTATGATCAAAGGTTAGGTTTAGGCCTATCTGAACTTTATCTCTTTCCTAGTTTGTTATGCCAACCAACCAAATTTGGCAACCATCCTAGTCAGCTTTTGATTATCTCCTGCCAGCATAATTGACAAAAGTGTCCTTCTATTACGACCTGGGAAGGAGTTAACTATTGGCTTGATCAAAACTTCCCTGATATTATGATATATAAGACAATCGAAAATTACATGTTCCAATGTTTCATCAGGTCCCATCCCACATATACAACTATACCAAGTAGGATAGACCACAGTCCCTAACCCTTTACCCAAACATCGTTTCTGAACCCTTTTGTTACAGTACAGCCCTATTACCTCTTGAATAATTCAGTTTTGCATAATTTGCGGAAGGCCAGGAGAGGGGGAGCCTTCTTGACCCCCTCAGGCAGGCCACAACAGAGAAGGCACACCGTGGGGGAATGGGCCCACTCTGGCCTCCTGGCCCTATTCCTCCCTGCCCTCCAAGGTCTTCTCAACACCTGGAGAGGCTTTTCTGTCTCTCTGGTAACCTGCCACCACCACCTGACCTTTGTGGGGATTACCTGTGGGAAGGGCCCCAGCTCCCCTTCCGAGTCCCGAGGCCTTGCCCCTGTGTCTCCTGCTGTCCAGCACCTGTACAGTTTGTTGCCTTGTGCACCCCTGGAGGAATAGCCACTTGCCAACTGCCTGGCTTCCCCCTGGTGCTCCTTTTAAAATAGCATGACCAAGATGGTGAAGGTCTATGTGGTACAGAGTATAACTATAGCATCCAAAGTTATAAAGTATTTATTAAAAAGAAAATGTTCACAAGCATATTTTTAGGACAGCACCAGATTGAGCAAGGGATTCAAAAGAAATGGGTAAAGCACAATTCTGCTGTCCCTTGCTCTATACATTTTCAATGAGATGTTAAAATATAGGACAGGCTCCTTAGCTTAGGAAGTTACAGATCTTTGCAGAGTCCCCGTTACCTTGAAGTTTTCTCCAGCTCTCCAGGCCAGCACATGGCCAATGGCCGCCACTTCCAGACCTCAGTTAAGAGTTATGCCTGCTCTGATGGACTCTGCGCCAAAGAGAACTTCCTACTTCCTCCTCTGAGTTTTATCACCTCCTTTCCCCCCAACCACTGACCAGGTCAGGCCAGGCCAGGTCAGGCCAGAGAAACTCTTCCAGAAGTCTCCAGAATTTTTCATCCTGAAGTCTCTCTAGTATTTAACACCTCCAAATCTCTGCTCACTGCTAGAAGGGGGGGGGGGAGAACTTTACCATCCCATTTTCTAGACCTGTGAGCATTTGTATGAAGGTGGGCTGAGGTAAGTCTGGAAATCAACTGAACTGATTCCCCCCCTTCCTGCCAGATCTCTCCCCAGAGAGGGGAAAAAACCTTTTAAAACTCAAAGTGAAAGTTTTACTCATTTCAAACCTCCATAGGGAAAAAATGTATTTCTTCACACACACACATCTGGGCAGTTGCGGATTTTACCCGTTTCCAAAGTGGCACCTCCAGGAGGCCCTGACCTCAGACATCATGAGCAACCAGGTGGTTGACAGGCCCTGCTTACCCGGAAGAACTCCATCTTCAGGGGAAGACCATCCCATCCCTGCCCCTGGTCAGAAAGCAAGCAGTGGCCCACACACACACTACAAAATTTTTATTCATGTCATGTTGTGGAGGCTTGGCATGATCTGGTGGCACCTCTGTTTGCGGCAGTTTAAATCGTCGTGGCAAGGGGTAACCAGACAGCACACCCTGAAGCAGCTTCACTGCTGTGGTCGACCGTTATTGCTGTGGGGCAACCACTGAGTGGGTGGTTGGGTGGCTTCTTTTTAAAAATTTGTCTTTTGCATATGCACATAACCGCTTATTCGAAGCACCACTCTGTTTTGACATCTGGAGGAGGCTGCCTTCCGCTCTTAAAAACTCATATTTTCAATTAACCCCTTCTCCACCCTGTGTGCTGCAAAGCTGTAGGCAGAGGTACCGGCATGAAAAAAGACAAAGAAGGCTTCTCAGCCTGCCCTGCCCTCCCCCCCTCTTCTCGCCTCAGAGGACAGCTGAAAGTTTGCTGGTGTGCATGAAGATGCAGTTATGCGCACAGGACTAAAAAAAACAAGGAGTGAAAACGGAACAGAATCAGACTTCCCAACCAGGTTGAGCTTGCACCAGGGGAGTTCAAACATGTGGAAATGTGGGGTGAAAGCTCTGATATCCATAAACACCAGACTTTCCCTGGTACCTAATTACTCCGCTTCCAAAGCAGGGCAGAATGGGGTGGCAATGACTGGGGCACGGAAAGCAGATGTTGCTGTCTGATCGTGCTCTTTAAATCCAAAAAGGTAACTGCAACAATATTGGTGTGAACTGCTCGTGTGACCACAGCCTCAGTTATCCAGACCCAGATAAGAAAGGAAGGCAATTAGGGCTTTCTTTTTTAAAAAGGTACTGTGTTAATTTAAAATAAGGACAAAATATATTATTTAGGAACCGTCTCAACAATCTCATCCCTGCTGTTGGGACCTGAAGCCAATGGCATAATATGAATTTACTAGTTAGTCTGTTTTATGAATTGCTACGCATTTTCCCCCCTCTAAGAAAGCACAATGTTGGGGAAATGGTACTGTTATTATTTTCATTGCTTATTTTGAAATATCCTACCCTCTGTATTTGTACAGGCTTGCAGGCTCCAAGTGTCAGGTGCCTGGGTCATTCAGTCCAAGGTCAAGGGAACTTAAGTCATGCAAGGTCAAGTTATTTGGTCAAAGGTCAGAATTCCAGAAGTCAGTCAAGGCAGAGCAGTTTAGTCCAAGGTCAGGTTCCAAGAATCAGACAAGGCAGAGTTAGTGGCTTAGTGTCTAACATACATGTTGCATCCACGCTTAACAGCCTTTCTTGGCTGGTTTTATAGCCACTTGGCTGGTTTTATAACCACCCACCCACCTGAGGGTCAGGCTTGCAGCTAGCTGCTTAGAAGTGATCCTGCAACTACTCATCTTTGCTATCAGCAAGCAGCTGGCATCAGTCCAGGAGACGTGCACTTTGCCGTCTTGTCTGCAGCTCTGTTCTCAGCTTTCATCTGCAAAGCTCTAAGGGTGTAGGTAATTCTGGTCGTCTGGGAATGGCCAACTGAGGTTCACCTGCTGATCCCGACTTAGAGGGTGTCAGTGGCTCTGTCTGCACCAGCTGCTGGCTGTGAATCTTGACGCTGTGAATCCTGACAGGCCTGCAGCTCAGTTTCCTACCGACCATCTTATGTTGACTCAAGGCTGGTTACACGGGGCTCCTCTTCTCCCAAGGAGTCCTCTTCTCCCGAGGAGTACTCACTATCACTGAGCTCTGGCTGACTCATGACAGTATCCTTTTGCTCACCAGGAATATCTTTCTAATTTCAGAGGGGCAGCTGTGTTAATCTACTGTCGCAAAACAACACAGGAGTCCAGTGGCCATTTAAAGAGTAAAAAGATTTATTCAGGTGGGAGCTTTTATCCAGAAAATTACAGAAGGGGCAGGGGGAAAGGGGGAGAGCTGAATAAAGAGAGGCCTGGGGGTCATAAATCAGGTGTGACGCTCTCGGCCAGGGAATTGAATGACTTAGGTTGTTAACATAACAGAATGAATAATGGATGTTTCTAATTTGCCAGACACTATGACAATTCTCTCAGGGTAATTATTAGTATGACTGTATTATAGATGAAGACTTGGAGCTAGGGGGTCCCCAACACGGTGCCCTTGGGCGCCACTGTACCTACTGATACCTCGCTCGGTGCCTGCCAAGTCTTTCTAGAAAGCGGCAATGGAATGAGCGGCTATGGAAGCCTTTACTGTAATGTAATATAGATGGTTGTCAGTACATTCCCCGCAGGGTTGTCAACCTCCAGATGGTTGAAGCCAAAAGTGAGAGATCACGGGAGGAGATGGAAATCCAAACAAAACATCCGTGACGAAAAATCAATAAATATAATATGCAATCCTGGATTTCAACCCCCAGAATTACAGCTGATCTTCAGACTAACAAAGTCAGGTCCCCTGGAGAAAATGGCTGCTGTGGAGGGCGAACTCCCTGGCACCCCATCCCTGCCAAGCGCCTTCCCTCCCCAGACTCCACCCTTCTCAGGCTCCACGCCCAAATCTCCAGGAATTTCCTGCCCCAGAGCTGGCAGCCCTATTGTGCAATTTTTGAGAGGGGGGGCCCAACAAGGAAAGGTGGGATATACACTGGCAGTCCTCAAGCAGCAGCTGGACGAACATTTGTGAGGGATGCTTTAGGCGGATCCTGCGTTGAGCAGGGGGTGGGACTGGATGGCCCCTTCCAACTCTATGATTCTACATTTTAATTAATACATAAGCCTAACATTTTCCATCCAACATGTCCAGAATTTTTGTTGACACCATCTGGCAACCCTAGTCCTAACCCTATTGCATTGTGTATTAGATGTCTCCTCAATCTATTGATTGCACGGATATATATATATAAATCTACCTTGAGTCTCAGTGAGGAAAGCGGACAGCAAACAAACATAAAATTCTTGGTCCCCATTGAGAGCTCCCCCACCCCTTGGCTGTGCCCCTATTTGGCAGGGCTGGCATGACTGGAAGCGAGTGCAAGACTCTCACCTTCACATACTCTTGCTCAAAGAGGAACAGAAGCTGGAAAGAGTCCCCTCTTTTCAACGGCAGCTTAAAAAACTTTGCCTCTTCCATCCAGCGGCCGTTGCTCAGAGCGTTGCAAATGACGTGAGGCTGTGGGCGGAACCGGGGATTAAAGTGGATGGCGATATCAGCCCGCGGGCTCAGGCTGCAGCCAGTCTGAAAGTCAACCTGGAACCTGGAACAAAGGCAGAGAGTAGGAAAAGTGCCTTGGATGTGCTCTGGGCCTGGCCATACTCTGGTTGTGTTCAACTTCAAAAACAGAGTGAGTGGTTACCGGGAGCAGGGCCTTATCCGTGCTGGCACCCGTATTTTGGAATAACATCACTAGACATGGTTGTCAAGGGCATGCTTTGGTTTCCTTTAGGAACCAGTTAAAATGTCTTTATTCACCCAAGCTTTTAGTGGTGTTTGACTGCTGTTTTTACACTTTGTTATTTTTTATTCCAATGCATTACAATAAAAAAAGAGTTTTTAAGTGATTTGTTTTTATTTATCTGCAATATCAGCATACCGCTTTTCTACAAAATGCATCTAAAGCAGTTTATAGGAAAGAAAAATATAACAATTGTAAATAAAATAAGCAAACAACAACAGACAGCAGAAAAAATAACCAGAGAACTACAAATGACCAGAATAAAAAAGCTTTAACACCAAAAGAGAGCCATCATCAGTTGAGGGAGGGGGAGACTGTAGAGATGGTGCTGAGCAAACTTCCTTTGGGACCACGTTTTATTACCAGGCCGACAATACAAAGAAGGACCTTCCTTTGATAGCCACTTGCCTAAAGCAGGGCCTTAGAAGATGACTGTTTGGTAGGTTCACATGGGATGAAGTGGTCCCTCCCTCAGGTGTCTTGGTTTTAATACACCTTTCTGGAGGCTAGGGCAATGCAAAAACATTTTAATGGATTGACTGGAATTCCTTGCAAAGCCACAATTCCCAGCATTCTCTGGGGAGAACCAGGGCAGCAAAACCCAAAAAGAAACAAGTTTCAAAGTGGTTCATATTTGTAAAGTGTAGACACACTGCAGGGAAGCTCTACAATACTGGATCAAGTCAGAGTTGGACGCAGCCCTGCCTGATTCTGAAAAAGATTGCATATTCATCTCTGCAAGCATTGTTAGATTTCAAGGTTGCCATCAACGTACCTATGACCACAGGGGTGTCCAGGACCAGGACTTGGCAACATTGAAAGTAACCTTCATGTCCTGCTTCTGGGCTTCCTAGAAACATCTGGTTAACCACGGGGAAGAAAGAGGGTGCTGGACTAGATGGTTTTCAGGATTCAGCAGGGTTCTTAGGAGGAGGAGGAGGAGGAGGAGATTGGGTTTATACCCCGCTCTTCACTACCCAAGGGAGTCTCAGAGCGGCTTACAAACTCCTTTCCCTTCCCCTCCCCACAACAGACACCCTGTGAGGTAGACGGGGCTGAGAGAGCTCTGACAGAAACTGCTTGTTTTCAAGAACAGCTCAGACAGGACTATGGCTTGCCCAAGGTCATCCAGCTGGTGCAAGTGGAGGAGTGGGGAATCACACCCGGTTCTCCCAGATTAGAGTCCGCGCACTTAACCACTACACCAAACTGACTCTTAAGAGCCATGGTTGGAGTATCTGCAAGTTCTGTCCCGGATGTCATGAAGAGTTAACCTGTTTGTTTGCCTATGCTAGTTGCTAGTTAGTAGTTAGAACCTATAGGGTGTCAAGTAGAAGTTCCCAGGCTAGAAGGGGAAGGTCTGTGCATAATGAATTGACCTTTAGCCTGGTCATTGGGCAGTTACTTGAGATTTAGGACTTGAGAGTTAGGATATGTTCAGAGGACGGCAGAAGACAGGAAGGCCTGGCGTGATCTGGTCCATGGGGTCGTGAAGAGTCGGACTCGACTGTGCGACTGAACAACAAGTTAGGATATGTTACTTGAGATTTTGCACATAGGCATTCTGGGGGCTTCTTCTCACTTCCTTTGTTTTAGAGTTGAGTAGCCGAAGTCTCCATCTTGGAGTTAACGTCAGCTAGAAAGATGTAGCTTGGTTTTATCCTCCCCTGTAACGCTTCCTATTTTTTTAGTAAACTTTCTTTTAGCTAATCTACACATGTGTGCCGCGTTATTGTTTTCATGTGCCAATAGTTCTGTTCTCCCATCTTTCCACACACACATCTGGAGGAATCGAGGATTTCAATCCCCATCAGAGGTTGCGCATAAACAGGGACCGTGTTTGCTCCGTAGGGCAGGGTCTGAGCAACAACTGCTGACAGCCTCCACGTACAGAAGCAGTACACCAGACAAGTAATTACAATGATCCTTTGCTCAGAGCTCCTGAGATGTAGCCAGCTGGCTCTTGCTAGGAGCAGACTGATAGATGAGAAGGTGGACGGATGTTCTGAAACAGGAAGATTGTTGTTTGGATATTTATGGGAGGGATCCCTTCCCATCTGTCTCTTTGCAGTAACTTACCTTGCCGCCTCCATTAGGACTGTGCCCTGCAGCAGAACCATTCGACCAGGGGCCAGGCTGCCAAAAATGGTGGTGATGTAGGGAAGGACCTGAAACAGAACCGGCAGCACTCAGATTAAGGTAGTCCAGGGGTTGAACCCTGCAAGGGAGAGAGGGCTACGAAGGTGCTTAACCTTTTAAAAATTCATATTTTATTATGTATTTAATTAACTCATTTTTAATAGACTGAGATTGTGTGTGCGTGTATGTGCGTTGTGTCAATAAATTACTTTTGGAAACCAAACAGATAGTATAAAAAAAAATACAGAAAAGGAAAAAGTGATACCTCATAAACAAATAAGAAATATTTCTCCCCAGCACCCCCTTCATTACCCTAGAAGGTTTTTATAGCACTGTCTATAAGGTACAATAAAAATTACTTCTGTTGGGATACATTTATGTTCAACATTTTACATTTCAAATTACATAACTAATCCATTTCTCAAATAATGTATTAGTTTCACCACGGTTGCATACTCAGTCCTGCATGCTTCTCCAGTACGGCACACTCAATATTTTTTGGCAAATAGCTAATATAATGAGAATACAGAAGGGAAAATAATTATATATAATAGAAAATAGAAAGTAGAAAATCTTCCCCCCCCCCCACCTCACAGGGGTGTTGCCAGGATTTTTAAAGTTGGGGGGCATTTTAAAAAGTCGTGGGGGGGATGGGGCAGGTGGGGAGGGAGGGGCACCGTCGCTGCTGCCGTGATGGCCATCACTGCACTGCGATTCACAACACTAGAAAAGTTAAGCCAGCTGTTTAACAACAGCCCCCTCCCCAGCTGCCCATAAAAGTCCTCCTTACCCGGCACCAGCTCTCCCCTGGCAGCTTCCAGCAGCAGGGCCCAGAGCTGCAAAGCAAGAAACCAGCGGACGAAAACCAGGGAACAGGGGGTCCTGGATTGAGCCCACCCCCCGCCACCACTTTGCTTCTTTCCCACAACCCGTCTGGTGGTGTCCCCTTCCGGCGGTGTGGAAATGGAGGGAAGGGCTAGCTGGTGAGGTCGTGGGGTGAGGACAGGGGCGGGACTCCAGCAGGCAAGCTCGGTGAAGGTGCAGTGTAACCGTGCACCGCAGGACAATTTTTAAAAAAATATATTTTTCAGGAGCCTGGGCTGGATTGGAAGTTGGGAGGCCTTGGCGGAAAGGTGGGGGGCAGGACCCAAGATACCCCACTATAGCTACGGGCCTGCCAACACCTCCTTCATTACACAACATTTTTAGAACACTGTGTAATATAGTGAAAGTAACTTCAGTTGGGATACATTTATATCCAACGTTTAACATTTGAAACCAGGGCTTTTTTTGTAGAAAAAGCCCAGGAGGAACTCATTAGCATAATAGGCCACACCCAACAGCAAACCTCATTAGCATATTAGGCCACATCCCTGACAGCACAACTCATTGGCATATTAGGCCACACCCCCATGTTACCAGAAGTGTGGTCATCCAGCCACACCCACCTTTTGCTTCTTATTCTGTTTACCCAGGGCTTTTTTGTAGCAGGAACTCCTTTGCATGTTAGGCCACACACCCCTAATGTAGCCAATCCTAATGGGTTTCTGCTGTTGGATGTGGCCTATTATGCTAATGAGTTCCTGCTGGGAGTGGCCAACTTGGAAGCCAGCCGGAACGCCGTTCCTGTGTGTTCCTGCCCAAAAATAGCCCTGTTTGAAACTAATTCTCATTCTACTTCTTCATTGCAATACATTTGTATACAGACTGAGATCTTCACTGGTGTCTGGGTGCATGTATATTTCTTTCCCTGAGACAGGCGGCCACAGGGTTAACAAACAAGCAGCTCACTTTTATCTACATAACAGCGAAGAAAGGAAGATGGAGGTCATAAGGTTTTGCTTCTATTGAACTTTGGAACTTTTCCCCTATTGCAGTCTCTTGGATCTTGTGCCACAAGATGACTCTTTTTAGTCAGCCAGCTTTAAGCTGATCTTCACCTCAGCTTTACTCAATCAGGCATCCCCTTTTCTCTCTCAGCTCCCTAGTCGCTAACTCCCAACTGCTCTCTTAACTGCTGTTTCCCACCGGCTAGATATGGACACATTAGTGGGCATGAGCAGCTTATCAGCAAGCCACAAAGCACTTCCCATTTTTGCAGATTTTAGCTGCGGTTGGAGACTCGGGAGCAAATCAGGCTGAGGTTACCAGCACTCCGTTCAAGAAATCTTTGCCGATTGTCTCAGTTCAGTTAATCTATTCCTTAAGGGACTAAATCCTATGCCTTCTTTGTCTGTAGAGGATGCAAGCATTCATTGTCAGTGGTTCAGAGGTACTTGCTCTCTGTATGAATGTGCTGCAGCAAGAGGGAGGCCAGACCCCCCCCCCGGTGAAGGCAGAGGGTCCCCCACTTTTGAGACCCATCTCTCCGCCATTGGCCAGTTGGCCAGTGGGGGGAATTACCTCCCCAAAACAAGGAAGAATGCCGGAAATTAACGTGATGGGTGTACGTGACCTGGAAGTGACGTAGGCACTTTGAGGACGTCGGGGGAACATAAGAACATAAGAGAAGCCAATGTTGGATCAGGCCAATGGCCCATCCAGTCCAACACTCTGTCACACAGTGGCCAAAAATACCAGGTGCTATCAGGAGGTCCACCAGTGGGGCCAGGAGGACATTAGAAGCCCTCCCACTGTCCCCCCCTCCAGGTTCCAAGAATACAGAGCATCACCTGCCCCAGCCTGTGAGTTCCTATCTATACCTTGTGGCTAATAGCCACTGATGGACCTCTGCTCCATATGTTTGTCCAGTTCCCTCTTGAGGGGGGGAACACTAGTTTTGGGGCAAAACTCTAGCAAAACACTATACTAGAGGCATTCTTCCTGGTTTGAGAACGAAAGAGAGTGCCTCTTTTCAGATGGGGTTTTCTATTAGAAGCTTTCACATCCTCCCTGCCTTTTAGTCCAAAAATAGACCCCCCAGCTTGACTTACAAAACACTGTAAAGCGGTTGCTCACAGAAAAACAGGCAAACAACAGGGGTTACGTTTACCCTCCCAAAGCAGCTGGAAACAACATAGCCTTTGCCTTCCATTGGAAAGACAACAGAAAGTGGGTCAGACTGAAATGAAGGATTATTTGGTTAGCAGAGTGCTCAAGGCGCACAACGCAGCAGAGCTTATCTGAGTAGTGTGTGCTGGCAACAAACAAAGTTATACACGAAGCCTCTTTATCTTTGCAAAACTAATATGAGTCCTTTGTTGTAAGGAACTCCATTCGAGTTAGGATAAGAGCAGAGATAGGGTTCCATTCTAGTTTAACTAGCTAGGAGGGATAGAGATGCAGGAAGCATGTCCTGCCCTCATGGTGCCAAGGTGGAGAAGAACAGCACAGTGTGGAGAGAGGGTGTCTGCACATCAAAGGGATAGCATCAGAGAGTAAAGGGAAGAATGACCAGTATCCTGGCCTCTCTCTCTCTCTTGGAAGTGAAGTCTGAGGCTAAGCGACAGTGCGAAGTCCTTCACTTCCAACATAAAATGGGTTTGCAACTCTGGGTTGGGAAATTCCTAGAGATTTGGGGGTGGAGCCTGGGAACGGTGGGGTATGGGGTATACTGCCCTAGTCCACCCTCCAAAGTAGCCATTTTCTCCAGAGGAGCTGGTCTCTGTATCAGTTATAATTCCAGGAGATCTCCGGGCCCCACCTGGGGACTGGCAACCCTTGCTAAGACCAGGTTCTCCCGGGTTGAGAGTTCCATAATTTTGGCACCTCTCTAGGATGGAGATATCAGGATATGGGGAGGGCAGATGGGGGAGACGTTTCTAGGAAGAACTCACATTCGTGCTGATGGTGGGGGGAGTGGAGAAGGGCATCATAAAACGATCTCAGGATCTGGGTGGGCCCTTACGAGAGAAGGAACTCCTTCAGATATCTAGTTCCTTAATAATTTACAGTTTTTGTAGGTGACAGGAAGAAAGTTGATTCGTTTTAAATGTGGTGTTGGAGGACAGTTTTATGTATACTGCGGATTCTATGGGACTATCCCCCTCTGAAATCCCTCTCCTCCCCAAACGCCACTCTCCTCAGGCTCCACTACCAAAACTTCTAGGGTAGTTCTCAACCCAGAGCCAGCAGCCCTGTGTATTTGGGGTTAAGCACACCTCACGAGACAATTGTGTACAGCTACTTCAGAAGGTCAAAGAAGACGGGAACGGCAAAGGACGAGATGGTTAGACAGTGTCATAGATGCAACGAACATGAAATTGAGCCAACTTCAGAGGACGGCGGAAGACAGGAAGGCCTGGCGTGATCTGGTCCATGGGGTCGCGAAGAGTCAGACTCGGCTGTGCGACTGAACAACAACAGCTACTTCAGAAGGCAACTTGCCAGCCGTCGCTCCGGGAGGAGTCCAGGAAGCCTACTGCAGTAGCAAAAGCGACACTCTTATATGGGGGAAACGTAATGGATTTGCTCAGGTGGCAATTGATGCCTACTTGCCAGTTATTCTCATGGTCACTTGGCAGGAAAAACACTATTTTGGTTGCTGTACAAATATCTCCGTTTGCCAGTAGTCCCGCTGTATGGAGACTTGCCGATTAAACTGCACACGTGTATCGGGAACCCTATTCCATACAAGCCAAAAGGAACTGCCAAACCCCCTCCCCTCCAAAAAAAAGAGTGGAGTCCAGTTTTTAATCCACAAGCATCAGAAACTGCCAGGGGATGTGTTCAGAGCTTTGACGGAATGCTTGTCAACACAGGAAAAGTAAGATCTGGGAATGATAAGAAGTTGTAAAAATATTTTTGAGTTCGTTTACACACTCCCAAGGTGAAACCTGAGGAAGGTTCTTACAATGGTTGGTTTGTTGTCTGCAGTTGCACAATTTTACATTCTTCCTGCCTTTCCACTACCCCCGTGATCATTATTAAATCCAGGGCTCGGTCTTCACAGATCGGGGGTTTATTTAAAGGCCATTTTTCTTCGAAATAAGGTATAAAATGGAATTTTAGGCCTCTTGAAACTATGTGAAATGCATTATTTCCACCCTAAATCTACTACTTGCAAAACAAATTATTGTTGGGATTAAATTTAATGAGAAGCAGCGGTTAGAGCGCTTTATGCAGCGTAGCGAAATGGGAGTTCAAATCACCACTGGCTATGAAACTTACTAGGTGACTTGGGGCTGGGCACTTCCTTTCAGCCTAATCTACCTCACAGGGCCGTTGTGAGGACAAAACAAAGGTGGGTAGAATCACATATACCTCCCCGAGCTCCTTGAAGAAAGGATAGGAGAGAAACACACTAAATAAATAAACATCAGTGTGGTACAATTGATATTTTTCTCTCTTCCATTCTGGAGATAAGCTGTAGGAACCCACTCCCCACACACACACACACACTTTCAACCTAGTTTCTCAGGTATTATAAAATCTCACTCAGGGGGGGTGAGATTTTTCCCCAGCAAGACCCCAGTGCCTTTAAGCAGTGCCAGGCAAGCATCTGAACAAGCGTAGCAGATTTTTACACTACCAAGGAGAAGATCCAGGCGCAAGGAGAACATGCCAGCTTGCAGCAAGCCAAGACAGTTGTTAGATACAGGAGTAGAGCCGGGGGGGGGGGGAAGCACTCCCCTTCACTGCTGCCCCTCCCTCAGCCAGGTGGGGGTTGCCAGCCTCCAGGTGGGACCTGGGGATTCCCTGGAAGTACAGCTCATCTCCAGACTACAGCGATTGCTGTAGAATATGGAATATGGATGCTTTGAAGGGTGGACTCTATGCCACTGTACCTCACTGAGGTCCCTGACCTCTCTGGGCTCCATCCCCAGATCCCCAGGAGTCTCCCAGCCTGGATCTGGCCGTTCCACTCCTGTTCCCTGCCGGTGGCCAGGGGTGGGTAGGAGGGGGATCTGGCCCCTCTAGGGAGAACAGAAAGCAGGCCAGCCCATATTCCATTAGCCAATAGTAGCAAAACCAGCTAGAACCCAAAGAAATCCATCTTTGCTCACTTATAAGCTTCTGCAAAGTTTCTACGAAGCCAAAACTCAGCAAAGCACAGCAAGATAGCAATTCAGCCTTGAAAAACCTGGTAACTGTGTGTCTTTTCACTTTCTCCTCTCCCTTTCAAGCTAACATGTTCAGACTCAGTTGTGAAACTTTCAGTAGTTAAAACAGCTGGGAGGATGTTTCTCTCCTTGGATTTTTCACCATCAGGGCAAGCAAGGAAAGGAGTAAAAAAACCAGAACTCACCGGGTGAAAAACAGGAGCCTGAAGAATATAATCTGCCGTGTCTGTAGAAGACTCCATAGCGTGAGTGGCCCACAGGGCACCCGAAACTTTACGGTTACCGGTTACTTAACCAGTTCTGCTTACGGCAACTTTAAAACTTGCAGGGATCACATGATCTGAGTCACACAGCTGAGCCAACTTAAAAAAAAACAAAACCCCAAAGACAATTGGGGGAAAAGCAGAAACACAACTTTCTAAACCACCCTTCTCCCCAGGACAAAAGGTACCACACAAAGAGTTTAGGGGGGGGGACAGATAAAACAGTTAAGGTATTCCAAAGCAGAACACTCCTAGTTGGGAAACAAACCTGATTCCTACAAGCTGCCAGGTAGAGAAATTTCACTTGCAAAGGTTTTCCTGCTCTGGAGATTGAATGCTGGGGCCAAGGTCATCTGTTTAAATTTGGCAGCTGCTGTTAAAGAGGCAGGAACAACCAGTCTCCTGAAGCAGCCCGAGGCAGGAGATGGTTTCCAGCCCTAACGTTTGCTTTCTGGCTGCACCATGTCTGTAGAGTTGCCAGCCTCCAGGTGGTAACTGGAGATCTCCTGGGATTACAACCGATCTCCAGGGGACAGAGACCAGTTCACCTGGAGAAAATGGCCACTTTGGAAGGTGAACTCTGTGGCATCATATCCCATTTAAGTCCCTCCCCATCCCAAACCCCGTCCTCATCAGGCCCCACCCCCCCAAATCTCCAGGTATTTCCCAACTCGGAGCTGGCAGCCCTACACATACGCCATGACTTGTCTCTGCTCCCACAACTGGTGAATCGACCTAGTCTAATCATGCAGCAGATTAGAATGAGATGGAATTCCAAAGCTCTGGAGAGAAAGCACTGGGTTCTTGATAGGGTTGCCAGGTCCTTACCTTCTACCAGCGGGGGGGCTCCAGCCTGCTCCCCTGGATTTTCCCCTGGAAGTGACATCATTACGCTGGGCACATTATGCAGGGGACACTCTAGCACTTGGCCAAAAACTCTGTGGTCACCATAGAGTTTTCGGCCAAATGCTAGAGCATCCCCTGTGCGATGTACCCAGTGTAATGACATCATCTCTGGTTGACATCATTGCACCAGGCATGTCAGGCGCAGCAGGGCTCTTCCGCGGAAGGCTCCCCCCACCCCAATTGGGGGGATGGCAACCCTTGTTTGTGATTTGGGATATCACTTTTTGAAATTGTCCTCCCCCCACACCAAAAGAGATCCCTGTCAGGAAAAACCCCTCAATCATAGGGTTACCAACCACCAGGTGGGGCCTGGAGATCTCCCCCTATTACCACTGGAGAAAACAGCTGCCTTGCAGGGTGGACTCTATGGCATTGTACCCTGCTGAGGTCCCTCCCCTCCCCAAAGACTGCCATTGCTAGGCTGCACCCCCCCAAATCTCCAGTTTGTTCCCCAGCCCAGAGCTGGGAACCCATGGAAGAAGGTTGCTCCCTGGTCTCTTTCAACTGCAATGTTATCTTTTGCAAACTACTCTGGGCCTCTTTTTTTCCCTCTGCAGGTCCACCAAACTTCACCTGCTGATTTCTGCATTTCAGACCTCGGGAAAGCAGGCTAGGTTTCTTACTCCCTGGGGGTCAACCCTTGCAGAGAGAGAAGGCTTCAGTCAGCCCTCTTTCTGGTCTGCTCATTTCCAGCTTGCAGGGAGCTTTTTAAAAAATGTAGGCAGCATGTGATCCTCAATGGCAGCCTGAAGTGGTACAGTCTGTTTCTACCATGCCAGGACTCTACCACCTCATTCTACTATTCCCGATCTGGCTGAACAGAAAGGAACTCCAGTTCAAGTGTGTGTGGGGGGGAGAGGGATGTTCTTTATAGAAAGCTCTAAAAAAGGGATTAGACAGATTCAAGGAGGCTAGGTCTATCAGTGGCTACTAGCCATGGTGACTGAGGGGAACCTCCACATTCAGAGGCACTAATCCTCTGAATCTCAGAGCCAGGAGGCAACGTTAAGGGAAGCCCTCAGCCTCTATGCCTTGTTGTTGGCCCTCCAGAGGAACTAGCTGGCCACTGTATGAGACAGGATGCTGGACTAGATGGACCTCTGGTCTGATCCACCAGGGCTCTTCTGATGTTCTTAGGTTCTTAACATGCCAGTAGAAGCAGGCATCCACATGGACAAATAAAAGGCACTTCTGCAAACACCAGCCCTTGCCTGGTCTGACTGCTGGAATATGCAATGCCTGGTATACAATAAGAGAAGCACCGCCAGCAGGGGGCAGTATTGTAGGGTTGCCATCTCCCCACAACAGACACCCTGTGAGGTAGGTGGGGCTGAGAGAGCTCTTTCAAGGACTGCTCTTGAGGGAACAGCTCTGAGAGAACTTGTGACTGACCCAAGGTCACACTGGCAGCTGCATGTGGAGGAGTGGGGAATCAAACTCGGTTCTCCAAGATTAGAGTCTGCGCTCCTAAACATTTCACCAAACTGGCTCTAGTGAGACAGGGATGTGGGTCTTTCTTTTCTGCCTTTTGCAAAATGTCGTTTCATTCCTTGTCCCTGAGTACTTTTCTGGGTTGTTTCCTGCTTCTTCTGGGGAAAAACTCTCTCTCCCCCATGTAGTCAGATGCTTACCCTCCAACTAAACAATTGTTTCCTTCATCCGTTTGTCACACTGACTGATGCTGAGGTGTTCAACCGCCAAGAGATTCTGCTCTGCTCTGCTCTGCTGCTTTTGGATCAGGGCCAAGGCAAGGAGGACTTTGAAAGGATCCACATTCCCCCAACCGACTCTTCCAAAGGACTTTCTGTTTGTGATGCTGGAGAAGCTGAAGGGTTTGTTTGTTGCTTGGCAAAACTGGGGATTAAAATTCCTGATTCGCTGCCGCATTCCAGCCCCTTGTTCCTTCAAATGTTTACTCCCTTCTTTTAGTCCTCACAATAATCCTGTGAGGTAGGTTAGCCTATGAGTGAGGTGCCACTGGACTCCAGTTTTACCAGCAGGTGGTGGGTGGAGATCTCCAGGAATTACAACGGGTCTCTGGATGAGAGATATCAGTTCCCCTGGAGAAAATGGCTGCCTTGGAAGGTGGACTTGGTGGCATTACGCCCCTCTGGGGTCCTGCCCCTCCCCAAACCCCGCCTTCCTCAGGCCCCGCCCCCAAATCTCCTGGAATTTCCCAGTCCTATTTATCAGACTGGCTGAAGGTCACCTGATGAGCCTTGTGGCTGAGTAGGCATTCGGACCCAGATCTCTCCAGCCCCGGCAAGATGTTGGTTTGCTCCTCCACATCTAAGTGCTCCTTGGTGACTGCTTGTGTGTGCCTGATTCGCAGTTTTAAGAAACATGAGCCCTGCAGTCCTGTGTATACTTTCTTGGGAAGCAGCTTCATTGAACATAGCGGGATTTATGTTTGAGTAAAGGTCCATAGAACCACGCTACAAAGCTATCATTCTTTGCCCTTTTGGCTTGGAACGAGCTCCGTGGAATACAGAGGTATCGACCTCTGAGTCGGCATGCATACCCTTTGGCTTTTGACACTGCGTATCTGTCTGGGTGTACATTATGAACCGAGTACAGATGGTGCTTATATTTGTGTCCTCATATATTATCATTTTATTCCGGGAAAGGCAAACAGCTGTAGCAATTAAAAGCCCCCCCAATTTGCGTGAAGTGGAGGCCTTAAATTATTTTTGTGTGTGTGTGTGAAATCTACCTTCACTTGCTTATTAATCATATTCCCGCCAGGGGGCAACATTGTCCCAAATTTCACATCGGAGACCGCCGAGGAGGCCTATGCATTGAACAGAAGAACATAAGAGAAGCCAGTGTTGATCAGGCCAGTGGCCCATCCCGTCCAACACTCTGTGTCACACAGTGGCCAGAAATACCAGGTGCCATCAGGAGGTCCACCAGTGGGGCCAGGACACTAGGAGCCCTCCCACTGCTGCCCCCACCCCCAAGCACCAAGAATACAGAGCATCACTTGCCCCAGCCTGAGAGTTCCTATCTATACCTTGTGGCTAATGGCCACTGATGGACCTCTGCTCCATATGTTTATCCAATTCCCTCTTGAAGCCATCCATGCTTGTAGCCGCCACCACCACCTCCTGTGGCAGTGAATTCCATGTGTGAATCACTCTTTGGGTGAAGAACTTAAAAGGAACTTCACTTTGATAATCAGAGATCATTCGTCCCATAAGCCAAGTGTGGGCTGTAGGTTTGCTGGCCTGCCTCAGTAGATCTGCATTTGGATAATGGTGCCTGCAACCGGGGCTGTAGTTGCCCATGCTCTTTAAGAGAGGCTGTCCGATTTCTATGTGGGGTTACGAAGAAATGAATGGAAAATCTGTGATTGCTTGAACAAAAGTTTAGAACGCTGTCAACCAAGCCCACGTGTCTCTGGGTATCCTGCAGTACCATCCTGAGCAGTTATACCCTTCGAGCCAATCGATTCAATTAACTGAGAAGGATGTTGTTAGGAGGGCACTGTTTGTATCTGTGCAGCAAAGTCTGAGTCCAGTGGCACCTTGAAGACCAACAAAATTTTATTTAAGGTATTAGCTTTCATGTGTGGCAGCTATCTCAAGCTTGTCATGAGGGACGCTGGCCATCATGCGCTTGTGAAATCTTGGAAACTAGTGGAAGTCCCACAAACCTTATGAAGACTAACAGCTTGATAAAGATATTGATTCGAAACCGGCCCGTCCTGTAGTACTAACCTTGACATCTTCATGCTCCGAAGGACTTTTCTTTGGCTGTTACAGAGAATGTTTCTTTCTGTTCTTACAGCATTGTTTATACCGTAGACTGGGTCCCTTTAAAATTGTATTTCAGCTGGCTTTTATGTCCCGCTTGTAACAATGTAACACACTTTGTACTTTCTTTGTACTTTGCATGATAGCTTATCTTATATCACTGTAAAAGTTTTTGCAAAAAACTGTTTTGCAAAAAAACAGATTCCGTTTACATTCCTCAAGGTTGCTTTTATATGTTTGGTGGCTTCAGACCAGTCTGTGAATTGTTATCTTTCAGTAACAATAATTTCCAAGCCTTTACCTTGCAGTTTATCCTAGTCTTGTCACA